CATACAGACCTGTATATATAATCCACTAACATACCCTACGCATTAACAGTAAACACCCGGTCATTTCTAAACTGACGGCCTGTGTGGTTATATATATATATACACCACATGAACAAACTAATAGCATTGCTTATATAGCAAGCGAAACATAATCGCGCCTGTTCACGCAGGTCAACCATCTATTGTTACACATCTAATTCAGATGAGGCACATGCATAGCACGCTAAGCGGACAGCGCAGCCAGCCTTTTTAATTTGCTATTCAGCCTCACTGCCCGCGCACCTGCGTGCGAATGCAACACGCGCGCGGCAACGAAGCCCTACGGGGGTTTCACAGCGTAATGACACGGTGCGGCACAACAGATGCTAACCGCTCTTTGATGCTGTTAGGGGGGATGTGTCCAGGCGATGAAAGGAGAAAGATAATGGGCGCGGCAGGAACGATAACATAAGAGGAGGCCGCCACGGTAATGAAGAAAGCGGGAGCTACACGTACAATAACAGAGGAAGAGGACACCCCATGTATACTCATGAAGGATGCGGGCACGACATGTAGGATAACATCCCAGGTATGATAATGGGGGAGGCAGGCACCACAGGTAGAATAACATAGGAAGAGGACATCCCATGTACAGTAATGGTGGAAGCGGGCACGACGGGTAGAATAACATCCCAGGTATGATAATGGGGGAGGCAGGCACCACAGGTAGAATAACATAGGAAGAGGACACCCCATGTATACTAATGGTGGAAGCGGGCACGACATGTAGGATAACATCCCAGGTATGATAATAAAGGGAGAGGGCGCCACACATACAATAATAACTAAAGAGGGCGCCACGGGTACAATAATGAATAAAGAAGGCGCCACAGGTACAATAATGAATGAAGAGGGCGCCACAGGTACAATAATCAATGAAGAAGGCGCCACGGGTACAATAATGAATGAAGAGGGCGCCACAGGTACAATAATCAATGAAGAAGGCGCCACGGGTACAATAATGAATGAAGA